TAATCGCATGCTTCTTCTATATATAATAATATACATGTGCACAATTAATTAATCATCCAATTAAACTTATTTAATGTTCAAATATCAATGAAAATATTATTCGGATTAGTATATGATGGTACCTACATCCTCAATGTTTATGTTTTAATCATTTCATTTGAAGCATTTAACGTTAAAATTTGTAGACCAATGGTCATTATTACTAATATATTTAAAAATTTCAAACAACTAATTATGTTAATTATGAAGGGTTTGTATCTTCTATCTCCAAGTTTACTTCTTCATCAGCTATTATAAATAAGGAAATTTATATTAATGATTAATATAAACATTTTTAAATCTCTGATTTTATACATACTTATCGGAAGGATAGGCAATTGTCCTATTAAATTCTCATCATTTTTCTTTGATGCATGGAGAATAGATAATAAAATAAATAAATAAACACATCTTCGATTGAACGTATTTTAAAATAACTTACATCATCAACTTTATTTTCTTGTGATGAACCTTCGGTGATTTCCTTTAATAAATCTGTTTTGACCCCGTCTTCTACATTTCTTATCATGCTCACTTCCCAATCTTCCTCGAATCGCTTATCAATGGCTGAAAATGAAGTATCGGCACCAATCAAAGGTTTCTCATGTACAGGCATATCTTGACCGATGTGAATTAAATCATCATCATGACTTAAATTTACATCATCATCATCATCATCATCAAAATCATCATCTTGAACATAACTTCCTTGGGATGTGACATTCATGGAATGAAATTGTTCTTCTAAAACTTCATCATCATCTAAATTTTCATCATCATTTAACTTTAAATCATCATTTAAATTTTCATTATCATTTAAGTTTAAATCATCATTTAAGTTTTCATTATCATTTAAGTTTAAATCATCATTTAAATTTTCATCATTAATTAAATTTAAATCATCATCTAAACTTTCATCATCTTCTAAATTCTCCTCTTCATATAAATTTTCATTTTCATCTTCATCCTCTTCATCCTTCTCATCACTTTCTTCATTTTCATCTCCATTCTCTTCATCCTCTTCATCACTTTCTTCATTTTCACCTTCACTTATATCAACAAAACAATCTGATAAAACCGATTTTTCTTCATTAATCGATTCATCAGAAATAAGATTCGCTTCTTGATTCAGGGGTTCAGCAAAAATATCAAGATTATTTTCCATTGAAGTTTGGACGTATTCACCATCACTATCACAATCATCAACATTACTTTCGTTTTCGAATGAAATATCTATCTGATCCGTTGAGGAGTTCTCCTCTAAAAAGGTATCAATATCATCAATCGATGCATCAAATTGACAATTTACTGAATAATTTTGTAGTATTGTAGATTCATCATGGAGATTGAATATTGTTGATAAATGTTCAGTCAAATCATTCGGTCCCAAATCATTATTATCAGGAATAAATCTAAAATATACAAATATACGCTTGGTTAAAAAAATTTAGAAAACACCTATATATAGTAAACTTAATTATAATTGATTCAAAGGGATTACACTCGATATCCTGGTTCTTTGATTTCCGTATCAAGAATAAAAAATCTTTCATGTTTTTCATACAATGAAAAACTCGTGGGTTCTTTTTTTGAAATATTTTGATCCCAATTTTGATAGGTTTCCACACAACGTAAACCTTCAACGAAACGCGATCTATGATGATGATGAATCATCGACTAACATTTCAGTTTCATTATATGGAAATTTTTTAAATTAGTTTTTTAAATTGATGACTTTTTTTTTTTTTTTAAAAAAAAAAAAGAAATTTATGTATATACCTCATATAAAACAGCCATAATCAAAAACAAGTCTTTTTGCAAATTCACAATCAATTTACCTTGATCATCATAAAAATCATAATCTCGAATATTAATGTCGCCACGAATTTCTCGAAGGCATTGTGTAAATTCTTCATTGGGCATTAGATTACTCGCGTAAATACGTTTATCTGGATCATTCTATATAAAAATAAAATAAAATAAAATAAAAAAGGGTTACTTTAGCCTTTCTTTATATTATAATATGCTTTAATGTAATTTACCTTTCCATAAAATGATAATAATGTTTGCCAAAACCTTTTCTGATTTACACTAGTTTTCCAACAACCTCTTGACGTTAAATACAATATTTGACCTAAAGTTTTGGCTCCTAGCCTGTTAATGCAATGATATTGTCTTTGTATCAATAAAATTAAAAGGAAGAATTCAATATCGACCAATGTTGGAATTTCAACTATAGAACTCTTTCTTGTAGTAACGGCTCTCTTTGATAAAAACTCTTCCCAATTAGTCCCAAGTTGATCAAGTGATGATACATTTTCAAACAACGTGGTTATAGCCTTTATAGGTGATTCTTGTTCATTAGCAGCCTTTCTCGGTTCCTTCATCTATTTAAAGGTTTAGGGAAATAAATTAAACAAGTAGAAATTTTGTATAATGTCGACGTACATTAAACCGAAAAAAAACCTTTAGGCAATCTTGTAAATTAGGAAAAATAAGTCTTAAAAAGTCTCTTATCTCCCCATTTTCTATGTACCAAGCTGAGATCATCAAAAATCTGTATGAATTAAATTAACATTAGCGACAAACAATTTTATTGAAAAATAACAATAAAATATATTCAAAATGCACCGATCCAAATCATATGGAGCACAAAAGGCTATTTTGTCTATCTGAAGAGCCGTTTTAGATAACCATTTCAGCATATTCAATTCTGTTAATGATTTCTTGCCAACCTCTCTGTGCAAATTTTTAAGAAATTTTTTATGTCCAGGCAAAACAAAATTCTGTGTGGCATCATCATTTTTAGAATGTGACCTGAAAATAACATTTGCTTCATCGTTTTTGTTTAACCACAGATAATCAAAACACTGCAATAAAACAAGAAGTTGGTGAGAAACGTCACTAATACGTTGGCACATTAGATAGATAAAATGGCTGATCGGACGAGTAGGATCACGGAAAGTTTCACGTCGAAAATATAAACATGATTTGAACTTTAAGTAAGCAGCATTTAGGTGGTATTGATTTTTTTGTATTATAGAAGCATTTTGGAATTGAACCAGATCAGAAGAGACAAGATATAATTGGAAATAACCATCGTGTCGTAAACTTCTCGATTGATATTCCTTTATTAAATAAGTTATAGCTCATTATCTCATATTTAATAATATTCAAATAATATAAATAATATAGTATGAAAACCTGTTGAAATCGTGTCCATTTTTCGACTAACTGAAGATTTTGTGACTCAGGAATTCCCCAAGTTTTAACTGAATCCGAAAATTCCTTTACAAGTCTAACGGATTCTTCACGAAACCTATGAACGAACGAATAAAGAAAACAAAGTAAATAATAGCATGGCAAAACTAACAATAAAAGTTACACTCACAAACTCAGTGATAATCTCACAACGTTATCATGTGCAAAAAATATCAATTCGGTAGGTTCATGTAAAGGGTCCTTTTGGTTATCGATTGTGGCCTCCAATTTTAATTTTGAAAACGTTGATTTAATAAAATTGTTCCATTCTAAACTATCAACAAAGTTATAGCGACGTTGAGTTATATGTTTCCATGCTCTAATAAGGTAATTAAGCATGAATTTATTTTCGAGAGAGAGATGGTAATAAAATTTGAGCAATTTTACCGTTGATAATCTTGAATTTTTAACAGACTCTTTGTTAACAATATTTGTAATGAGGGGTCAATAAATGTTTCCTCTAATGAGATTAGATCTTTTACGGAGTCATCGATCCATTTGATGGTTACCACTGAATAATTTTTTAAAAAAAAAATTAAATAATTGCAAATTTTCTTTTTAAATTGCCAAATAAAAGATAATCAACCTGGGGGCATTCCTTCTCGGCGTTTCAGACATGAGCGTTTATCTAATTGTTTTTCAGCATAGCGTACCAGTATAGCATATGTTTTTTGTAATAATTGAATTGCTAGAATGTCGTACTTATTATTATTCAATGAACGTGATCTATAAATTCGTCAGATATGTAAATTATTTGATTTCATAAATTTATTAATAAATTTGATATTTTAAGAAATAAACCTTTCTATCCAATGTAAGGCTTTAGTCGTCAACCTTTTAATTTCTGATTCTTCCTTTTGCATTTTCGCTAACTGTATACATAGCTCAGCAGCTTATGGATATAAAAGATTCGAGAATTGTAGTTTAAGTATACATAAGGATGAATCATTATAATAATAAAATTACCATCATATGCAAGAGTTTGTGGTGCATTTGGAATTAAAAGAGCTCTATTTAAATCGATGACAATGAGATTTAATGCATATGAATTCAAAATCAAGATTTACAAATTTTTGATCTACCTTTCGTAATATTCTAATGCGCTTGACAACTTTTCTTGTTTTTTATATGTGGTACCTAGTAATTCTAATGCCTATTCAGCTATACTTGTTAGTAAATATGTAATAATGTTATACGTTAAAAATGAAAAAGACACTGTTACCTCGTAATTTTGAGGGCTAATTAATAATAATCTAAAAAGAAATTCTGCAGTCATACTGTAGTTCCCAAGATTGAAATACAATTTTGCGATAGAGTTCCAGTAATGTTTAATTTGGATCGAAGTCGGTTTCTTGCCAAAGTTGTGTAAAACATAATTATCGATTTCTTTACTGTCTTTAAAAAGTGTTTTAGAAGGTGTAAAACGACTCATTTGAATTATGTGAAGAAATCGTAAAGTCACGATTTTAAATTGATCGACAGAAAGTAAAAAAAGATCCCAGAGTCGCGTTCGAATGTCGGAAACTTGATTTATATGAAACTTTCGTGATTGGCTGATTAGGTTACTCAAATTTTGTAATTGTAAATTCTAACGAGTTTCTTAAACAAATAATCCACCAATAGATTCACCAGATAAAAAAAAAATTCACGTGGAAGTTTATATTAAAGTAATGGTAAGTGCGATACGTCGAATTCTTAACATGACTTTACCAAGTGAATTACCGTAAGTTTATTAAGAAATTTTATTTGCGTATATTAAATTTATTAATAAATATTTTTACATAGTAATAAAGACGAGCTTGTGGAGAAAGCACAAGGTATTTGTTTGTTTTAAGTTGATCTTAATATAAACAAAAAAAAAAAAAAAAAAAAAAAAAAAAAAAAAAAAAATTATATCTAGTTGATTTGTCAAATTTGAATTTAACCACCAATCAAATGGAAAAACATATAGAACGTTCTAAAGGCTTTTTATTATCACAGTACAAAGATATTACTACATTTTTAGATGAAGCTACAGATGGTACTGTTAATTCCCTTAATTCATCAAAAAAATATCTTTCTTTAAATTGAATATTATTACAATTCATCAATTCATTTTTTTGTTTATATATATTTTTTGCTTAATCTATTTGTAAAGAATAGAATTCGAAATTGGTCAACTTGTACATCTTGAATCATTTGGCCTATATGATGCGATGAGTTCAATTGAGGTTATTTGATAATCTTTGTTTATAATGGCCGATCAATTTTTCGACCTTTACAAATTTTACGATTTTATAGATAATGGATCCAAAAATGGATAGCGGGATGATATTAGAAAGTGATTTAAATAAACCGCAATTTAAATTACATGCCCGTTTAAGGCCTGAAGAAGTTCTTGGAATTATAGATCGTTTGTTTAATTGCGAAGTAATTTATTTATTGTATTATAAAATATAATCTTTAAACTTTTATTTATTTCTTTTTCCTTTTTTTATTTTTTGAGAGTTTAGATGACATGGCATTCCGGACATTCCCTTTCTCAAACAATTTTTACTTGCATGTATTTTCATCACGTTTTTGACCTTGGCCCTGAATTATTTATCCATAATTCAAATGATGAAAACTTGCCTATCGAGTTTGTAATATTAGTTTTAAAGGCGTGTGTTTTGGGAACTGTAAAATGTTGTCATTTGGTATTGGATGAGATGACAAAGGGAAATGTTTATGAAGTAAGATATAATTATTTAAGAGTAACAAATCTGGTACATAAATCCTTTCTTTTTATAACGCGTAATTTCTTCCCTTAGGAAGAAGATTTTTCTGCAAATAAATATGGTGTCTCAA